ATGTTATTCAAACCAGAGACGTATATATTATATAGTAAGTTGTCATTGACAGCTAGTTTTGAGGAAAAACATTTTCAAAATTATAGCTCAGAACATAAAATACATTTTACGATTCTATAATTCATAATGTCGCTTGCATAAATGCTACACTTATTTCCAAGGTATATTTATACAAAATACCTACCATTTCTGCCATAAATAGCCTTTTCAGTAACATAATTCATCTGTTACCTTTGACCTTTGACCTCATGACCTTGAAGTTTGTCATAATGTTTATAGCCTGCATAATTGGCTACGATACTATTATGTACATGTGCATACATAATACCTACTGTTTCCAAGATAATTAGCCACTTCAGTAAAGTAATTCATTCGTGACCTTTGACCTCTGACCCCATGACCTCGGAAGCTGTCAGTAGAGTAGATTGCGTTAATGCCTACAATATGTCAATGTATATGTGTATATTTAACCATTTCAGTATTTGAATTAGTTTGTGACCTTTGACCTTTCAAAACGTGGAAAGTTGAAACCCGACAAAAAACCTGACTATATATGTTAAACATTATTGCTTTTGGTATTACCGTACCAAATTTGGAAGGAATTGAATCAAAAATAAGAAAGTTCTTGCGTTTTCTATAAAATATCATGATGTAGAAAAGGTTTATGAACCATAGGTCATAACTTTGTGAAAAGTGGAGATAACCCAATGAAAAGTACTTTCTGCACATCTCCAAGCTGCAAGGTTTGTTATCAGCAAATTTCATTGAAATCCATTCAGTAGTTAAGCACGAGTAAACGTTACTACATTGCGCCTACAGATGGATAGACGGGCAGACAACCTGGTTCCAGTATACCCCCCCGCCCCCGCAAATGAAGTTAGGAGGGTATACTGGGTATACTAAGTTAGTAATACTAAAACAGAAAAAAAGGATTTTGCAAGTTTATGTAACGGATGAAGAATATTTTTATCAAATGAATAAACTCTAAACTCTTCCTACCATGATTTGGTATATTATCAATATTTTAAAGATGTAAAGAGTTATGGTAATTATTTCAGTATGGGAAGTCTCTAACGATCCATAAATAACACCAGATCAAATAAAAAAATATGGGGGTAAGTCGCACAATGTAAAACTAGTAAATCAATATGGTCTGTTTGATGGTAATAATACACTTGTTTTATATGCACAAGGATAGCATTTGACTCTTCAGCAGTTTAGAAACCAATAAGAAAGTGAAAAGTTTGAACAGTCTCCAACAAATTCGAAAGAATATAGCTCAAGTTACTTTAGTAGCGTAACATAGCACAGTGATATTTCCTCATGTATCCTACTGTTTATATGCTACTCATTCTTATTTCACAAGTATTAAACAAAAACTTAACACTGAAAATCATGTAAAACCATATCATCTAAATGTTATGTCCACACTCCATACTGTTAACAGTAATAATCAGGGATCAACGACAGTTAAATGTTATGTCCACGCTCCATACTGTTAACAGTAATAATCAGGGATCACAACAGTTAAATGTTAGTCCACGCTCGATACTGTTAACAGTAATAATCAGGGATCAACGACAGTTAAATGTTATGTACACGCTCCATACTGTTAACAGTAAAAATCAGGGATCACAACAGTTAAATGTTAGTCCACGCTCCATACTGTTAACAGTAATAATCAGGGATCAACGACGGTTAAATGTTATGTCCATGCTCCATACTGTTAACAGTAATTATCTGGGATCAACGACAGTTAAAACAACCCGCCTAGGTTCATAGTGACTATTTATACTGAGGTAAAATATACCACTGTATGAGTTCAAAAAGCTTGGAATAATCTCCCTAATTAATATGAAGAAACCAAAACATTTCTGCTGGCCCAGAGTAAGTTCCAGGACATCAACATCAGTAAAGTGTAGGTTTGGCAGTTTACATTCTGGTCTGATCCGGCTGGTTTTGTTCTTAGATTTCTTTTTATTTCTAGTTAAAAATATTTGAACTTCTTACATCTATAATTCTGTAAAATGCATCGCAACATATGGTTCTAATGAAAAGGATTTAAACAAAAACTTCACAAAATCAACAATGGTCATTATATATCAAAACATATTGGTACCCTTTATCTTAAAATACTGGATTGGCCGTAACGATGCCTCTGCCACTCTGATAACATTGATTCAAAGTGTAAATATGAACAACAGCCAACAGAAAACAAACAAAGCTGAGGTATAGTAAGATTGAACATGATAGTAGACACTACAATAAGTCAGTGTTAACTAGGACAATACATTTACACAGGTTTAAATATCTGAAAATGAATTTAAAAAAAAATTGAATTAAGGGTTTACAATCACTGTAAAAACAAAACATATAAATCTGATGAAATACAATGAAGAATAAATACATGACTTCCCTAACTACTAAACTCTAGTGTATGTATGTCGACAGTGGATTTCTCTGGACAGAGATGTACAATAGGTGATATCTTACTCTGTTTAACACAATGGTATGGTATATGACAGGTGACTCCTAGCAGATTTTTGACTACTACATAAAAGTGTTAGTTTATGTATGTAATGTTATTTTACCATGCTAAATTCAATTTACTGATGTTACTGTATTCTGACGAATTTAATTTGGTAAATTTCATAAAGTCCAAATACCTTGTAGTGATCTATACTTTTGAGGGAAAAACATGGAATATTTTAATAATAGTGGATCAACCTTTCCAAAACAATTGCAAAAATAAAATAGCATGCAAAGTCATATCACAAGTCAATATGATTTACCAAAATAAGGAAGATTGACCTCCAGACAACTTTACAGTAGTATTCATTGCATGAAATATTTCTACCAGAACTTTTCACATTCTGTAACTTTGTAAAAGAGCATACAAGAAAAAGAAGGTACAAATTAACCAAAGGTTTACAAATATTAAAATTTCATCAAAAATCTGCTAGAAATCACGTCCTATAATTCTGGTTATGATGTATATTTACATAAAATTAAATAACAAATTTTTATAATAATGACATGTAATACCCTATTATTAATTACACTTTGACTATAAATATATAACATTTCCATCCACATTTTCTGATTCTTATATGAAATTATACTCATGTTCATCAATGGAAGATAAATGTACACAAAGATAGCTCAATGTCATTGCAGCTGGCTTAACCCTTTCACCACCATAGACCATGATGGACTCATCCAAATGAATGCATGGTAGAGTTTACTAAAGTTACCTAGGGGTGAATGATTTAAATACCCTCCACTCATGCATGTGTGCCCTCCATTAAACATCATGAGAACAGTGTGTTTTATAGACATGTACAATAACATATAGGTGATTCATCCTATCAGGTTTCTGGGAAATTAAATGAAAACTTTCAATAGACAAGTTGTCCAAACAAGATATAATAAATATGCATGGTTCAGACAAGGGCAATAACTCTTGAGAATATTATCATGGTATCAGTAAAAAAGAAAAAGGTGAAAAACATGTTAAAAGCTGGAACAAAAAAATCTTCAAAGTATTATTTTTCGCTAGATGGAATTCTGGTGTTAAAGACAGAAACACTCTGTATCCATTGTCGTTATGATGCATCCATCAATATTTACTCTGTTGACCATGTAAAACTGGATTCATATTCAAGTTTTAGAAATTATGTACCGAAATATGAATATTTTAGTGTACAACACCTGAAGACAATTTTTTGAATCCCAGGAAATGTAGCTCTGCTCAAAATATCAAAAAGTATCTCCTTTTGAAATGTAACTTAAGGTGTGTAGATATTGTATAACGGAGAAGGCGATAGTTGATTAGGCCAAATACAAATTGTTGTTCCCCTACCTACCCTCATTTTTTGTGCCTACCCTAAAAAAAATCAGCACTTTTCTAGAAGCACTGTTAAAGTCAAGATAACTCTCCTATATCAGGGACAGTATATAGAGGGGATTGGCAACTCTGCCCCAGTCAAGATTCTTTAGCACGTCGCTTTTGTGTTTGTTCACCGAACCGCGAAGTCATCGAGAGCCCCTCTCGATCAGCCCGCGCTTGCGCACTAGCGTTAAAATCATGTCACCAATCTCGCCGAGATGGGAGTGTTTTGATAACGGTTAGCCCTGATTGGGACTGTGTATTAGTAGGTCTTCTTTTTATTCCAGGGATAGGGCTATCGTTGCCACTATGTCTAGCCTTTCGGCTGTGTTGGTGGCTATTACAACAAATCACATTTCGTAAAGCACGTTCCAGTGAAAATAATGCTAATATTGACA